AGTACTTGCTCCGAGTGGATTTTGAGGCATCAGTTCAGTTGGCTCCAAACAAACAGATAAATTACAATATATGATGAATAGAGCAAAGACCAAAAGCGAAACTAAACAACAAAAATAGACAAAAGATAAAGTCATGTTGCTCAAATAAATGCTAAACTTTTTCCTTCTGCAGAGAACGTGTAAATAAGCAACTGTTTAACAGAACATATCAGTATATTTGTTGTTCCCACAGCTTGTTTTCGCTGGCCTCGGGTGTCCAAAAAACATCAGTTACTGCATTGGATTCTAAGGTGAATTTGCCTTAAAACCAATTTGCATTTTCATAAATGCTAAATGCAAAAATGTGCCATATGTACTTTGAGTATATTTGGAGATGTTTACAATAACTGAGGCAAACACTTGCTCCCAAATTACCCTCGACACACAACGAACTGAATGATTTTTTTATAAACATATCTGGTTTGATAAATGATCCACTCCTTAGCTTATGACAGATAATTGATTCTTCTATGGGTTTATAATCCTTTCCTTTCCTGAATGACCGAAAATCAAAGCCTATGAGCCAATTTCTGAGGTTTAAATGCACTGGTTGCCAGCTCATCTGTTTCTCCTTAATACTTGGGGAATGGTATATGATTAAAAGTAGACCAATGGATCACAAAAACCTATAAATCAATAACGAGTTGGCATCTGATTACCTGTAATTTGAGGAATATGTGCTGGTGAAAGCATTAAAGAAGAACAGAGCAGGAGAAGGAGGACTAGTTGTCTTCTTCAACTAGTCTCACAGTGATTCTTGTGACCTTGTGTCTGTAGATGGTGAATGTTCCTCCCAAAACAGATGAGTCACTTTAAAAGAGATTGCGGCAAGGTTTTTCTTCTTTAATTACCAATCCTCGCTAAAAGCAGATGTGGAAGAGTTTTTGTTTCCTTTGAAGCTTTGACCTTGCCTTCAGACTTCCTCACTGTTACACTCTCTAGAAGCTGGCAACTTATTGTGGGAGAAAACCTCCCTGCGCATCTTGCTGCCCCCACTATCAGCTCACACGGTTATAAGGCTTTAAATTTCAAGTCAAGTAGTTGGGAAATCTTACTAAAGGATTCTTAGTACCATTTCTGCGTCTCCAGCTAATTCTGTTACAAAGTGACAGTGACGCCAGGACAAAAACCCGTTGCATCGTGAAAACAAAGGGTTTCAAATTTTAAAGATCTTTGTCGAATGATGAAGCAGATTTATGGCCATCTCTAAAACCTCACTTTCATGTCTTTGTGGGTTTAAAAACCAATTTGATGGGGTGCTGTTTGCTTTAGTCCTCTAAATGTCAGAGAAAAAACATCCTCAAATGAAAAGCACTTGTGTCCAATTGAAGCAAGTATTTATTAAGCAATGGATGTTGTTTTAATCTAAAGGTATCTTAACCAAATAATTCCACAGCACCCATAGTGAGTGACTGACGGAGCGGTTCCCGCTGCATTACTAATCTTGACTAGTTTGGAACTTATTCTACTTCTTTTCTCTATTTTTTACAACAAAAACAATTAAAGAAGTGTGAATGCTGGCCCTCTTGGTCAGGTCTCTCTTTCACCTTGATAAATAAAAGATTAATATAAAGAATATAAATATTTTTCATTTGCAGTGCATTAGGACAGCTAAGGATATCTCACCAAAAATGACGTTGTGTGGTGGATTATACAGACAGAAACCTCAGAGACTATATGCATCATGTGGAAAAGAAAGCATACCTTCTTTGAAGCCCAAATCATCACCCATCCAATACCATACTTGAGACTGGTACGAGGATTTTCTGCCTACATGCCGTGTTTCGTTTTCTCCAACCGTGTTGCAGTGAATTATAGCCAAACATCTCCACTTTCTCTACAAGTCTTTGCAAGTATTGTGGTTTGTTCAGATGCAACTTAGCAAACCTAAGTTGTGCTGTTATTCAGAAAGGTAAGAGGCTTTTTCCTGTCAATATTTACTGGCAGGCCATACCTGTTCAATCTTTTCAGCGTGTTCAGTCATGAACTTTGACATTTAACATGCTATCTGACATCTAGAGTAACCCTTTCCAGATTGATGGGCAACAACAGTTGTTTCTTCAGGCTCATGGTTGTTGTCTTTCCTGTTTGGCGTTGTTCTAATGCACACCTGAAAAATCCAGACCAGCAAACAGCCAAAAGTTTTGCATTTATAGGAGGTGCTTACACCTGCCCTGCTTGTTGATCAGGTAATCCCAGGCATTTAAATCAAGTGCATCTGGCTGCTACTTACTACTTGTATTCCGGCTTAATTTTTGTATCATAAAAAAAGACACTGTGTAGTATGTCATGTGTTGTTGTACAGCTGAGACGGATTTACCCGTCTTTTGCTGAGGGCGGGATTATTTTTATTATATTCTTGCACATAAAACGTTACAGTTACAGACAGAAGGTGTACTTTTTCCCCACATGACTCAAGATTACATAGTTATAAATCCTCATAGAAATACACGTGTGTTAAAAAAGTCAAATCAATCTAAACTAGCAACAACACTATCTGTTCCCAATTATTAGCCAGAATAAACAAAATCTCAAGGCCGTGTCATTCCCTTATCCTAAAACCTTACAGCCTCCCTAAAAATCAGGCAAAAATGGACTTTGCAAAAGCAGTCCTGCCTTACTGCACACGGCAAATACGTGGGGATGTTGGTGTAGGATAGTGCCAGAGAACGTGCAAAATATTTCACTGAAATGCACCAGGGAAGTGTTCTGTCTCAGACGATATGCAAATACCTTTCAGAAGAAAATTAAACACTTCAGTCGGCAAAAATTAGAATGCATAATTTGAGGCTTCTTTGCACCACTTGCTCAGTTAAACATTAATTAACTCAATTACTTAGACTCCCTGTACACTTTAAATTAATCCAGAATGCAATACATTTGAATCTTCCAGGCTTATTTGTACAACATAATCAGCAATTATTCAACATGGATTTAATAGATACAAAGATACAAAGGGAGACCTCTCAATTTAGTGTAATCCAAGACAAAAGCAGTACTAACTTTACCTGCCTGACAATTCCAGAAAGATCAACAACAAAAAAGTAGAAATATACCTGAAGATCTGTTCCAATAGAAGTAATAAGTGATACATTTCCTGAGTGGTTGTAGTTATTTCCTTCAACTAATTTGAAGGAACTGCACTGTAATAGTCGATATTAGCTGTATTGTTATTTCCTATTGGCATTTTAGGGTCCGTAATGAAATGGAAATAGGAAATACTAATCTGTTCTCTAATTATTAGGCATTAAGACAATTGTATGAGCAGATAATAGCATTACTGACTGAAATAAGCATTCCCACAAATAAGATGTCATCTACCTGTGTTAGTGGTCAGTACTTCTCTGTTTATGCTGATTTGTTTTCCTGGCACAAAACGTTAATATCAAGGGAAAAATAGACAGGAAAAAAGGGTATTGTTCTGCTTCAGTTATCTACAATATGGCTGTTTTAAACATCAGTATTCCACCCAGAAATTCACAACTGATGCATCCTTAATTTTAAACTAACGCTTCCCTCATGCTAAACAGCAAAAACAGAGTCACATTTGTTTGTATAGCTCTATTCAGACACAAGGAACATAGAGTACTTCAAAGAGACATTTAAATCGAGGCTACAGGTGATACAGGATGCACAATCAATCATGACAGAAACAGAATAACAACAATTAGAATCGAAGGACAAACAAGACTAGAGTTGTTCCTGTGGTCACAGATCTCTACTTATATAAATCTGGCATGTTAATCCCTGCCGTAGAAGTGATCATCACTGCGAATAAGTGTTGTTTCTTCAAAAAAAGTCTCATAAAGTGTGAGAGAAGAGCTCTGATCATCTCCCCTGAACAACTTCTGTAACTCAAAAAGTTGATAATAAAACACCACTTCTCTCTAGGTCGAGTCAGTGCACACTGGCCTCATATTAATTTAATTGCTAATATTTAATAGTCCACATCTTGAGACAAGTTAGGGCCACAACTAATGACTGCACTTATTATCATATTATCTGAAATTGTGTGCTGAAGTAAAATTTCCTCATTTTCCTCACCCAGGCTGGAGTCAAAGTAAAGCTATTCAGCTGTCAAAATTGAAAGATTAAATACTAGAGATAAAAGCTTGTTATATTTGCCAGACCAAAGCAAAAATAAATGAATTTTAAAAAAGCTTAAGGGAAGAAAAATGACACCAAGTCATCTGTAAAAATAAGATCACACAATCTTAAGCTTCACTTCTTACCTGCTGTGCCATGGACCAGATAAGTATAACTGACCTATTAGCACCAGAGCTAACTGTTTAAATAGACGACCCTGGAAATAACTACATATCTTGTATGATATGCACAAAGGAAAGGAAATTCGTCCTGTGAGCTTGACCCTACCAGAGCAGACAGCTGGCCGATAGCAGCTCTTGTTTACACAGTGATAAGTGCTTTTTGAAGTGGCCTTGTGTTCACATTAGACTTGTTTAAATGGAAAACACTGATTCTCTACAAAAGTGCACGCAAAATAAAGAAACGAGAGACTCTACAGCCCTAATGATCCAAGAATACACTGGAGGCTAACAGACCTTAAACGATAAAGGAACTAGTCAGATAGTTTGCGTATTAATAGTCTCGTTGCAGTTAAATCATATCCATACGACCTTAAACTTTTAAAGAAGCTTTTCAAAGATCGATTACATCCAGTTAAGATCTATAAATGGTTATTTTTAAAATACACTGGTCAGCTAAAGTCCCGATTAAAACCTTAAAAGCCTATGTAGTGATTTCTTGCTGGAGTTTACTCTGACCACCTGTTATTTATGTTATCTTTATTTTATGCGCTTTCTACTACACGCAGCTGCAGGCTTTGTTGCATTGATATTTGGACCCGCAACAATAAATCTGAGGGACAGCGGGGAGTCTGTGAGCAGTCCTGGACGTCCTCTGCTTCAAAACGTATGTAAACACGTGAAAAATAGTATTACCTGTTCCTTCAGAAACACCAATGGCAGGGGAAAGTTTTCAGGCCGACCCCACCGAGTCCCCTCGTGGCGTCATGCGTGGGTAAAAGTGTAAAGTGTTAGATAGGGCTGTCACGAACCGCTTAAAGTCCAAGCTCCGAGTTCACAGACAGCCCTGTTGCGCTGATATGAACCGCGGCTTTCACCTCAGAGGCTAACGACCAGCAGCGTTTAGGGAAATGACTGCAAGCGACAGCGAGTTAGGTGCGGAAGTTCCGGCTGGCGCCTTCAAAATAAAAGAGCTTACCACGATGAAGTAAAAACTGAAAAACAAACTGTGGAAAATGACTTATTATATATTTATAGTAGTTAATAACTGCTGGATGTCTTTTGATTTCTAGTTCTATCAGCTACTTTTAGCCATAAATATGAAAAGAAATGTCAAGTTTGCTGTTTGTTTGGTTAGAATTGTTGTGCACTTGGTTACACTGCAGTATGTCTCTAATTGCTTTATTCTCCCATTGCATATAATGAGTCCAAACATTTGGTTTTGAATAGTGTCACTGCTATATGAATGGTTCTCAAGGTCCACCATGAATGAGCAAAACAAAAAGAAAGAGTACTGAAATACTGAAAGTGACTTTATTTTCAGCCCTGAAGCAATGTGCCATTTGGGTGACTGAGTAACAATTGAATAAAAGCTGAGAAAAAGAAAAAGAGAGAAAAAGAGAAAAAGAGACACCTGGCTGAATGGTAGTCTCGAATTTGACTCTTTGTAACCTAATAGATACAGACACACTAATTATACAGGTTGAAGATTTGGAATCAATCATATAAAAAGAATAAATGTGAATTTTCCTACATTTGCCTTCTTAACTTCAGTGAATTATATATTTATGTACATTTTTATTGACTCTAGTATTTAACACTGCACGACAGACACGTTTACAGTTGTGTGCTGCTTGAACAGTGTTCAACAATAAAGCAGTAGCAAAAACTTTAAAAAAATACTTGCACGTTGCGTGTCTCATATTTTATAGACGGAGTGCAAAAATTATAGAAAAACAGTATATTGATCAATCTGGCCATTAGCTGCTACTTTTATTTTTTTCCGGATCACCTTTATAAAGAATATTATTTTTAAAGACTTTTATGCTTTTATTATGAAGGAAATTCCATTTCCTTTCGTTTTTAATTTCATGGCGTAAACTTGGCACTGCCCAGGGAAACACACAGACGTCAAAATAAACCACACCTTAAGTGGTTATTGTTTTTACCACCAACCAGTGAAAGTGAATGTAACTGGTTTTAAATCTAGTCAGTTTTAACCATGCAGTAGAACTCAAACCAAAAACTAAATCTACGTTTGACAGCTTCGAACCTCACCCTGCCCTGACTTTTATTTCTTAAAAAAAGATCTTAAAAATTCTTA